TTTCTAGACAAGGAAAAACTAAGGGAATTTGTTACCACTACACCAGCCTTACAAGAGGTCCTTAAGGGAGTACTAAACATGGAAACTAAAAATAAATAGCTCCAACCTCAGAACATACTTCAGTGCATAGCCCATAGACTCTGTAAGTGCAACCTCACAATAGAAACAACAAAGCAACAAGCTAACAATTTCATGATGGAATCAAAACCTCACATATTAATATTAACCATGAATGTAAACAGTCTAAATGCCCCACTTAGAAAGTACAAACTGGAAAGCCTGGATGAATCAAGACCCCTCCCTCTGCTGTTTTCAAGAGACCCATCTCACATGTTACAATACTCATAGGCTCAAAGTAAAGGGTTAGAGAAGGATCTATCATGCAAATAGAAAGGGGAGAAAAAGTAGCTATTCTTATGTCAGATAAAACATTTTAAACCGAGAGTAAAAAGTGACAAAGAAGGGCATTAAAGAAAGTGTCCAATTCAACAAGAATACTTAACTATCCTAAATACATAGGCACCCAACATTAGATGATGCAGATTAATAAAACAAGTACTTCTAGACCTATGAACAGACTTGGATAGCCACACAATAATAATAGGTAACATCAACACCAGACCAACAGCATTGGACAAATCACCAAGGCAGAAAACTAACAACAACAACAAAAAATCTGAACTTAAACTCAACACTTTGCAAATTGGACCTAATAGATATCTACAGAATACGCCATTCAATAACCACAGAATATACATTCTTTTCATTTGCACACAGAACGTGTGCCAAGATCGACCACACGCTCTGTCATAAAGCAAGTCTTGATAAGTTCACAAAAATTAAAATCATACCAACCACACTGTCAGACCACAGTGGAATAAAAATAGAAATCAATACCAAGAAGATCTGTAAAAACCACACAATTACCATGTGTCATTAAACAACTTGCTCCTAAATTACATTTGGGCAAACAATGAAATTAAGGCAGAAATCAAAAAATTCTTTGAAATAAATGAAAACAGAGACACACATACCAAAATCTCTGGGATACAGCAAAAGCAGTGCTAAGAGTAAAGTTTTTAGCACTAAACACCTATCTCAAAAAAATGAGACCTATCTCAAAAAAAAAAAAACAGTAAAGTTTTTAGCACTAAACACCTATCTCAAAAAACACATTTTTTTTTTTTGCTATAAAAATGTTTTATTAGGCCAAACTACTTACTATGAAAATGCTTTAAAATGCAGCAGGAGGAGATATAAAGACTCAAAGAAGTGTGTAGAGACAATGGCTATCAGAACGCACTAAAGAATCCACACCACTTCCCCCTTTACCTAGAAAAGGAAGCTTCTAGGCTACCTCCTCCTCAGCACACTCCTGAAACTCCTCCTCCTCAGCTGTGGCACTTGGTATTGCTGGTATTCTGACACCAGGTCATTAAGGTTGCTCTCGGCCTCAATGAACTCCATCTCATCCATGCCCTCACCCGTGTACCAGTGCAGGAAGGCCTTGCGCCTGAACATAGCTGTAAACTGTTCGGAGACGCGTTTGAAGAGCTCTTGGATGGCTGTGTTGTTACCAATGAAGGTGGCCGACATTTTTAGCTCCCGGGGTGGGATGTCACACACTGCTGTTTTCACGTTGTGAGGGAGCCGTTCAGCAAAGTAACTGCTGTACTTATTCTGAATGTTGAACATTTTCTCATCCACCTCCCTCGTAGACATGCGACCTCTAAAAATGGCAGACACGGTTAGGTAGCGGCCATGATATTCTTAGCATCAAAGAGTTGCTGAGTGAGCACAGCCACGGTCAGGGCCTGGTACTGCTAGCTGCCCTGGCAGGTCAGCGGGGCAAAGCCGGGCATGAAGAAGTGCAGCCGGGGATTGTAGCTCCCACTGAAAGCGCAGAGAACAAGAGGACGCCACACTTTCAGATCAATTTTTGTTGCTCACGCACCAGGAGATTCCCAGCGTAGGAGCCCCACTTCTTGCCAGCGCGACTCTTGAGGCCAGTGAGGCGGTTTTGCTGCTGCCTTGGTGCGGCGGTTCTCGGTGCAGAGTCAGAAAAGCACCATCAATCTTAAAGCCGCTGTTTTGCCCGGCGCAGTGGGTCGCTCAGATTTTAGCGCCGGGAATCAACAAGTTGGACATCCATTCAGAAACCCAGCTATAAAGACGGTAATTATAAAGACCACAGATGGATAAATTTATAACAAAGGGAAGAAACCAGCCTAAAAGGCTGAGAATACCCAAACTCAGAACGCCTCTCCCTCTACAGGGGATCACAGTTCCTCATCAGCAACAGAACAAGGCCTGATGGAGAAAGACTGTGTTCCATTAGCAGAAGCAGGCTTTAAAATGTGGATGATAAGAAACTTCTGGGAATTAAAAGAACTTGTTCTAACCCAATGCAAAGAAACTAAGAACTTTGAAAAAGGTTTGACGAAATGTTAACAATAACACACAACTTAGAGAGGAATATAAATGAATTAATGGAGCTGAAAAACACAACACGAGAACTTCGTGAACTATGCACAAGTTTTAACAGCCGAATTGATCAAGCAGAAGAAAAGATATCAGAGGTCGAAGACCAACTTCATGAAATAAAACAAAAAGACAAGATTAGAGAAAAAAGAATAAAAAAGAATGAGCAAAGTCTCCAAGAAATATGGGACTATGTGAAAAGACCTAATCTTCGTTTGATAGGTGTACCTGAATGTCATGAAGAGAGTCAATCCAAGCTGGAAAATACGCTTCAGGGTATTATTCAGGAAAACTTTCCCAATCTAGCAAGGCAGGACAATATTCAACTCCAGGTAATACAGAGAACACCACAAAGATATTCCTCAAGAAGACCAACCTCAAGGCACATAATCGCCACATTCACCAGGGTTGAAATGAAAGAGAAAATACTGAGGGCAGCCAGAGAGAAAGGTCAGGTTACCTATAAAGGGAAGCCTATCAGACTCACAGCAGATATCTCAGCAGAAACCCTACAAGACAGAAGAGAGTGGGGGCCAATATTCAACATCCTTAAAGAAAAGAACTTTCAACCCAGAATTTTACATCCAGCCAAACTAAGCTTCATAAGCGAAGGAAAAATAAAATCTTTTGTGAACAAGCAAGCACTCAGAGATTTCATCACCCCCAAGCCTGCTTTACAAGAGCTTCTGAAAGAGCCACTACAAATAGAAAGGAACAACCAGTATCAGCCTTTCTAAAAAATACCAAAAAATAAAGAACATCAACATAATTAAGAAATTGCATCAACTAATGGGCAAAACAGCCAGCCAACATTAAATGACAGTATCAAACTCACATATATTGTTATTAATTCTAAATTTAAATCGACTAAATCCCCCAATCCAAAGACACAGACAGGCAAAAAAAGCCAAGACCCATTGGTATGCTACATCCAGATCCATCTCACATGCAAGGATACACAAAGACTCAAAACAAAGGAATGGAGAAAATTTTACCAACCAAATGGAGAGCAAAAATAAATAAATAGAAAGCAGGAGTTGCAATTTTTGCTGACAAAATACACATTAAAGCAACAAAGATCAAAAGAAGCAAAGAAGGACATTTCATAATGATAAAAGGATCAATGCAACAAGAAGAGCTAAAGATCCTAAATATATATGCACTCAATACAGGAATACCCAGATATATAAGATTTATAAAGAGACTTGGACTGGACTCCCACACAATAATAGTGGGAGAATTCAACATCAATATTAGACAGATCAATGAGACAGAAAGTTAACATCGATATTCAGGACTTGAACTCAGATCCAGAACAAGTAGACTTATTAACATTTATAGAACTCTCCACTTAAATACACAAAATATACACTCTTATCAGTACTACATCACACCTATTTACAGGTTTAAATGAAATATTGGTTGGCTGCTTGTTAATTATTTTCTTCTGTCATTTTTTTTATGTCTCTATTATTAAACACAATTACAGGCATATCCATTTTTAGACTGCATTCTAGCCCGGGCAATAAAGCAACACCCCTGTTCTTTCTCCCTCTTCCTCTTCCTCTTTCTTCCTTTCCTTCATTCTTTTTTTTTTTATTCTTTCTCTTTCTTTCTCTCTTTCTTCCTCTAAAAAAAAAAAAAGAAGTCTGCATAAGTATAAGGGGTGTCTATGAATAATAATCATATGAAGAAAATTATCCATAAAAAGGATGTTAATCAAAAACTATTAAAATTATTTAAAATTAGGAAACCATCATCTTGAAAAAAATATGACTATTTAAAACAAGAATATTAACAGAGTCCTGATTTTAGTGCTGGACAACACAATAAAATTATTGTCTTTTGTCTATGGCATCACTTCATTTTAAGATACAAAAGTGATGCAAGGGACAAGTGGAAAAAAAATTTTTCTGCTGCAAAGGACATTATATACACTGTACTGGGGTCACTGTTCATAAAAGCAATTGGTTAGGGCCTCTTTTTTCTCTCAGGGAACTAATGCTCTGAAAAGGGATCTGGACACAACAGTTTCAGGAAGTGCTTTTGAGCACACTTTTATTTTTATATGGTGACCAGTGGTTAAGATTGCTGGTGGCCTGGATTAGCAAAGAGGAAGACAACTTTTAACACAGTTCCCTGCCTTCACAAGAGGTGTCAGATTAAGATGTGTAAGCTACGAGAATGTTGCAGTGAACACCATTTCAGAGCTCTCAGTGCTGTCTTAATTCTTAGTTCAGGAATTAAGATACTTGGAATAGCTGTGGAGGAAGAACCTAAATTGCAAAGGTCTGCTGTTGCCAGCTATCAACCCAAGTCAGTGAATTGTCAACTGCATATCCTAAAAATGTCAAAATGCTGCATCTGGTTAAATGGGGGGGGAAGCTGAAGGTGCTTGCTTTATTTGCCTTGTTTACTCATCCTGCCCTATAATGTCTGTAATCATGAAGATGGAATAAATTGTAACATTTTCTATCATTTAAAAAAAAAAAAAAAAAAAGAGTGCTGTTGCTAGTCTCGTGGACGCGGTGCCGTTACTCGCAGTCAGGCGGCGGGGCAGGCTGCGGCGGCGGCACAGCGCACAGCGCGCCTTAGCAGCGGCAGCAGCAGCATCAGAGGCACCCCGGCCGTCACAGCCCCCGCGCTGGTGCAGCCACCCTCGCTCCCTCTGCTCTTGCTCCCTTCGCTCGCACCATGGCTGATCAGCTGACCGAAGAATAGATTGCTGAATTCAAAGAAGCTTTCTCCCTATTAGATAAAGATGGCGATGGCACCATCACAACAAAGGAACTTGGAACTGTCATGAGGTCACTGGGTCAGAACCCAAGGGAAGCTGAGTTGCAGGATATGATCAACGAAGTGGATGCTGATGGTAATGGCACCATTGACTTCCCCGAATTTTTGACTATGATGGCCAGAAAAATGAAAGATACAGATAGTGAAGAAGAAATCCGTGAGGCATTCAAAGTCTTTGACAAGGATGGCAATGGGTACATCAGTGCAGCAGAACTACGTCAGGTCATGACAAACTTAGGAGAAAAGCTAACAGATGAAGTAGATGAAATGAGCAGAGAAGCAGATATTGATGGAGTTGGGCAAGTCAACTATGAAGAATTCGTACAGATGATGACTGCAAAATGAAGACCTACTTTCAACTCCTTTTTCCCCCCTCTAGAAGAATCAAATTGAATCTTTTACTTACCTCTTGCAAAAAAAAGAAAAAAGAAAAAAGTTCATTTATTCATTCTGTTTCTATATAGCAAAACCAAATGTCAAAAGTACCTTCTGTCCACATACACAAAATCTGCATGTATTAGTTGGTGGTCCTGTCCCCTAAAGATCAAGCTTCACATCAGTTTTACAATATAAATACTTGTACTACCTTAATGATAAGGACTCCTTAAAGTTCCATTTGCTAATGATTAATACACTGTTTGGACTGGCCAGTTTTTCATGCATGCAGCTTGACGATTGAGCACAGTCAGGCATTTGTATTAAAAACGAAAAATGAAAAAACAAATTCAAAACCTAAAAAAAAAAAAAAAACACCTATCTCAAAAAAAAAATATGTTAGAAAGATTTCAAATTAACAATCTAATATCACACACAGAGAAGCCAGGAAAATAAGAACAAACCAACCTCAAAGCTAGCAGAAGAAAAAAATATAACTAAAATCAAAGCAGAACTGAAAGAAATTGAGAATCAAAACTTTATACAAAGCATCAATGAAACCAAAACTTTGCTCTTTGAAAGGATAAGCAAGATTTTGATAGTCTGCTAGCTAGATTAACAAAGAGAGATCTAAATAAGCACAATCAGAAATGACAAAGGTGACATTTCAACCAATCCCACAGAAACACAAAAAATCCTCAGAGACCATTATGAACACCTCTATTCACACAATCTAGAAAATCTGGAGGAAATAGATAAATTCCTAGAAACACACAACCTCCCAAGATTGAATCAGGAATAAATTGAAACCCTGAACAGACCAAAAAAAAAAAAAAAAAGAAAAAAACCTACTCAGAAATGCTTATACCCTGTTGATGGGAATGTAAATGAGTTCAGCTACTGTGGAAAGCAGTTTGGAGCTTTTCAAAGAACTTAAAACAGAACTGCCATTCAACCTGCAATCCCATCACTGGGTATATATCCAAAAGAAAACAAATCTTTCTACCAAAAAGACACATGCACTCATATGTTCATCACAGTACTATTCATAATAGCAAAGACAGAATCAATCTAGGTGACCATCAACAGTAGATTGAATAAAGAAAATGTGGTCCATATACACCATGGAATACTACACAGCCGTAAAAAAAGAATGAAATCATGTCCTTTGCAGCAACATGGATGCAGCCAGATACCATTATCCTGAGTAAATTAACACAGGAACAGAAAAGCTAATACTGCATGTTCTCACTTATAAATAGGAGCTAAACTTTGGATACTCATGAATGTAGGGATGGCAACAATAGAAACTAGGATTGAGGGACTAACGATCGGATGCTGTGCTCAGTACCTGGTTGATGGCATCATTTATACCCCAGACCTCAGCATCACACAATATTCTCTATATATTTATATACAGACCTATATATTTACCACTAAATCTAAAACAACAGCTGAAAATGTAAATATACATAAATAAAACTGTAAAAAACAAAAGAGAAAACCACTTTCTTTTCTCATCCTTAAGAAGCAACTTCTTCTCTGTTAAAGTTATATCATGAGAAATACAGCAGTTTAGTCCCATCTTCAGGCTTCACTTCTAATGCCAGGTCTTTTGATATTTCCATCACATCTGCATTTATGTCCTCCCTGCAAGTCTGAACCCCTCAAAGTCATTCACAAAGGTTGGAATCAACTTCTTTAAATTCCTGTTTATGTTGATATTGTGACATCCTCCCATGAACCGGTGAATCTTATTAATGACATGTAGAATGGCAAATCATTTCCAGAAGATTTCCATTTACTTTGCTCAGATCCATCAGAGGACTCATTATGTATAGCAGCAATAACGTCATAGTATGTGTTTCTTAAATAATAATGCTTGAAGTTCAAAATGACTCCTTGATCCATGGGCCACAGAATAGATGTTTTAGCAGTCATGAAAACAACATTAATCTCCTTCTACATCTCCATCATAAGTCTTGGGGGACTGGGTGAATTGTTAGCAGTAATATTTTGAAAGGAATCTTGTTTTCTGAACAGTAGATCTCAATAGTGGACTTAAAATATCCAGTGACCCAGGCTGTAAACAGATGTGTTGTTATCCAGGCTTTGTTGTTCTATTTATACAGCACAGGCAATGCAGATTTGGCATAGTTTTAAGGATCCTGGGATTCTGGGAATAATAAATAAGCATTGGCTTCAGCTAAAAGTAACCAACTGCATTAGCACTTAATAAGAGAGTCATCCTGTCCTTTGACGTTTTGAACCCAGGAATTGACTTCTCTCTAGCTATAAAAGCCCTATGACATCTTCCAACGGAAGGCTGTTTTGTCTACATTAAAAATCTATTGTTTAGTGTAGCTACCTTCATCAGTTATCTTAGCCAGATCTTCTGGGTTATTTGTTGCAGCTTCTTCATCAGCACTTGCTGCCTCACCTTGCACTTTTTTGCTATGGAGACGGTTTCTTTCCTTAAACCTCATGAGCCAAGCTCTGCTAGCTTCCAACTTCTCTTCTGTAGCTTCCTCACCTCTTTAAGCCTAGAATTTAAGAAAGTTAGGACCTTGTTCTGGATTAGGCTTTAGTTTGAGGGAATGATTTGATCTATCCAGGCCACTCAAACTTTCCCCATATCAGCAATAAGGCTGTTCATTTTCTTCTCATTCATGTTTTCACTGGAGTCGCACTTTTAATTTCCTTCAAGAACTCTTCACAACTAGGCTGTTTGGTGCGTGAGGACTAGCTTTTTGGCCTATCTTGCCTTCAACATGCCTTCATCATAAGATTAATCAATTGTAGCTTTTGAGTGAAAACGAGAGATTTGATACCACACCTTTCACTTGAACACTTACTGTAGAGTTATTTATTGGCCCGATTTCAATATTGTTATGTTTCAGGGAATAGGGATGCCTAAGGAGAGGGTGAGAGATGAAGGAATGGCCAGTAGATGGAGCAGTCAGAACACACACAATATTTATCACTTAGGTTCACTGTTGTTTAATTGACTCACAGTTCTGCAGTCTGTACAGGAAGCATGATTGGGGAGGCCTCAGGAAACACACAATCATGGCAGAAGAGTGAAGGGGAAGCAAGCACCTTCTTCACAGGGAGAACAAGAAGAAGAGAGGGAAAGGGGAAGTACCACCCACTTTCAAACAACCAGATCCCATGAGAACTCACTCACTATCACAAGAACAGCAAGGGAGATATCCGCCCCCAGTCACCTCTCACCGGGTCCCTCCTCCAACACTGGGAATTACAATTCAATATGAGATTTGGGTGGGGACACAGAACCAAACCATATCAATGAGGCAATAGTAAAAATTTGAATAAATAAATAAATAATCTACAATTATTTTTAAAACCTGTATCTCTTTACCTCTGTATATTGCTGTGTATCTATGTATCTATCTATCTACACACTATGGCAAGAACAATGTTATGTATGCATCAAATTATTTGCATTATCCTTCTAGACACACAGGTGAATTCATGTGACTAGTTTTGGCCTGGTCACATGAGTAAAGTGGAATGTAAGTAAAAGTGAAGTAGAAAGATGTATACCACTTCTAAACCTAGTCCTTAAAAAAAATTATCACATAATCTCTCATTCTGTCTCTCTCTGTCTCTCTCTTTCTGTCTCTCTCTCCACCTCTGTCTCTGTCAATCTCTCTTTCAAATCTCTCTGTCAATCTCTCTTCCTCTCCTTTCTCTCTCACTCTTTCTCATTTCACTGTCTATGGGGCTGGACATAAGTACTCCAAGATGGCAGAACGACACGGAGGAAAGAGCTCAGATCCCTGAGGCACCACTGAGAAGGGAGTTGACCAGAAAGCTTCCTGACCTGCCCTAGACTGTGACATGAGTGAAAAAAAAAAAAAAACCTTACATTGCATTTAGCCACTGAGAGTTCAAGGATGTCTTGTTGCAACAAATAGCAACTATAAATATTATCACTCCTCCCTGTTTCTATACCAAGTCTTCAAGAAAAAAAGAGAGGAAAAGATGTCTGTATTCCAGGAGGCCTAGATTCATGATAGTTCTGTTCTCCACAGTTGGATTTCTTTAAAAAGAATGTCAATGGAATGAGTTTAAGGCACAGTTTACTATAGAAAATCTGGAAAATGATGTTTCGCAGTTGCCAGCACCGCCAGGAGTTCCGTACTGTCAGCCATGGTCAACCCCACCATGTTCTTCCACATCTCAGTTGACAGTGAGCCTTTGGGCCGCATCTTCTTCGAGCTGTTTGCAGACAAGTTTCCAAAGACAATAGAAAACTTTCATGCTCTGAGCACTGGAGAGAAAGGATTTGGTAATAAGGGTTCCTGCTTTCACAGAATTATTTCAGGGCTTATGTGTCAGGCTGGTGACTTCACATGCCATAATGACGCTAATGGCAAGTCCATCTACAGGGAGAAATTTGATGATGAGAACTTTATCCTAAATTATACAGCTCCTGGCATCTTGTCCACGGGAAATGCAGGACCCAACACAAATGATTCCCAGTTCTTCATCTGCACTGCAAAGACTGGGTGATTGGACGGCAAGCATTGGTCTTTGGCAAGGTAAAAGAAGGCATGAATATTGTGGAGGCCGTGAAGTGCTTTGGGTCCAGGAATCGCAAGACCAGCAAGAAGATCACCATTGCTGACGGTGGACAACTCTAATAAGTTTGACTTGTGTTTTACTTCAACCACCATACCATTACTTCTGTAGGTCAGGAGAGCACCCCTCCACCCCGTTTGCTAACAGTATCCGAGAATCTGAGCTCTCACTGCAGTTCTCTTTGGGTTCCATGTTTTCCTTGCTCCCTTCCATGCCTAGCTGGATTACAGAGTTAAATTTATGATCATAAAATAAACACTAAATAAAAACAAAAATAGAAAATCTGGAAAATGAAGAAAGAATTATTTCAGTTTATATACTACTTTTGAAAGAGATGTGGGCTAAATCATTTTTTCAGATCCTTATGATTCTAGTAACTCAAGAAGAGTTCTTAATGAAACATTTGTATACATATGTGCCACATAACAATGTTTTGGTCAATAACGAACTGCATATATCACAGTGGTC